TTTCAAGAATAAAAATAATTAGATAAATATCAATATTGAAAAGAGAAGATTGTTTAGTGACAACACAAAAATGTTTTTACAGCCCAATATAGCGGTACAGCATGAACAAGCAATCAAAGCTTAGCAATTTTCTCTCAAGTGTGGATTTTCATGTGCCGTTTTAAATTTCCTTTTACCCCAAATCTTTGTCCACATAGATCACAACAGAAAGATTTCTGTCCTGTGTGAATTCTGAGATGTGTGTTTAAGTGTACTTTTTGAGTAAAACCTTTTCCACATTGATCACAAAAGAAGAGTCTCTGTCCTGTGTGGACTACCATGTGTTTGATTAAGTGTGGTTTTTGGCTAAAACCTTTACCACACTGATCACAGCTGAAAGGTTTCTGTCCTGTGTGGATTCTAAAATGTCTGCTTAAGTGTACTTTTTGGGTAAATCCTTTTCCACATTGATCACAATGGAAAGGTTTCTGTCCTGTGTGGACTACCATGTGTTTCTGTAAGTACGTTTTTTGGCTAAATCCCTTTCCACATTGATCACAGCTAAAAGATTTCTGTCCTGTGTGGAATTCTAAGTGCTTGTTTAAAAGTGCTTTCTGGCTAAATCTTTCTCCACACAGATCACAACAAAAAGGCTTCTGTCCAGTGTGGATTCTCATGTGTGTGTTTAAGCCTGTTTTTGCAGTAAACCTCTGACCACACAGATCACAACAGAAAGGTTTCTGACCCGTGTGGATTCTCATGTGGTCAGTTAAGTGTGTTTTTTGAGTAAATCCTCGTCCACATAGATCACAACTGTAAGGTTTCAGTCCTGTGTGAATTCTTATGTGTCTGGTTAATTGTCCTTTAACACAAAATCTTAGTCCACATAAATCACAACAGAAAGGTTTCTGGCCCGTGTGTATTTTCATGTGTGTGTTCAAAGCTCCTTTTAGGGCAAAACTTCGCCCACACAGATCACAACCAAAAGGTTTCTGTCCGGTGTGAATTCTCATGTGTCTCTTTAAATCTATTGACTGAATACATCTTTGTCCACATAGATTACAACAGTAAGGTTTCTGTCCCGTATGTATCATCATGTGTTTTTTCAAATTGCTCTTTTTAAAAAATGTTTTACCACAACTCTCACAAATAAACTTCACCAATTCCGGGACGTCTGAGTCCACATTTTTCTTCTCATTAAAAAATGTATCCAGCAAACCCGAAGACCCTATTTCTGAGCTGACTGCGTCTTTTTGAAGAAATTGATGGTGAACAAATTGCTCAGCAAATTCAGAGGAGCTGAATGTTTTATTAATAATATTTTCACCTGACTCGGGTGCTCTACTCTCCGAGTCATTTTCAATGACCTGAGATTTAAGTCCAGAGCCTGACATCCATTTCAGCTCAGATATTGAGTGCATCACATCATTTTTATCATTACTCTTCTCTGTGTCTTCAGTCTTTAAGTAAATGGCACCATCTCCATGATCTTCCATCCTGATGCAATATTCCCCTCCACTGTTCTTCTGAGGAAGCTCTCCACTTTTGATTTGGCTCGAAAAAAGCTTTGAGAGCAAAGGGAGCTGTTCATCACCCACCCTCGTAGAAAGAGTAGCATTCACTGGACAGCTGCTGTTATCAATCTCTTCCTCCTTATGAGGTTGCTCCCCCCCTGGACTGGTGCAGACTTCTTCCTGTTCTTCCTTTATGTGGTGAAGGTCATTCTGGTCAGCATACCGTATGACGTCTACAGGAACTTCTTCTTTAACAACCACCACCTGCTTAATATCTGCAAGAAACATTCAAACACATCATGTATATTAGAAAGTATTTTAACTGGATTGATTTTTCTTGGAATAAAGATATATTTTTTTGTTTTGATTATATTTATTCAATTTAATTACATTTGTATAATTTTTTTCTGTTACTAGTTCTTATGTTTATCCATTTATTAGTCCTCTCATCTAGCATCTTTTTTTTGTCTCAATCTCCCTTGCAAATGGATGTGTGCAACACACTGCAAAATTCACATTGAACAAGTTTCCATGTGGAGCAATCAGCCCTTAAAGCGTTACTGGTGAAGATTCTCACTCATCCAGGTCATAATCATACCAAAAAAGTAAATAAAAAAAAAACAATCCACTGGACTTTGTTTCCAAGTTTAAAGATTTTTCGCTTCCCTTCCAGAAATTTTTTTTTTTCAACTCAAAATGTCAGAAATAGAATTAAGTGTAAGGCTTTATACAGAAGACCAACTGAAAAAGCAAATTGAAAAGAGCGAACGGGTCCACAACTCTGGAATGGGGAAGAAAAAAGAAGCCACATATATTTATTACAGGCTATGTCTTTTGCCAAATCACATCTTATTTTAATGTAAAGCCCAACAAGAATTTCCACATACACTGAATCATGTATCCTTATAGCTATGATAGCTTTATTTTGATGCTTCTAGACGCAAAAACATGTCTAGTAATCACCCATTAACCATTTAATAAATGTGCTGTTACTACTTAATTGCGCCTGTCAAACAAATTACATGGCTTGGGTGACCCTTCCAGGAAGGCGGCCCCTCTTTTATTACATGTTTATAATTATAACCAATAAATCTTGCTACCAAATAAATCTATAACGGTGGAATTTAGAAGGAAATTATATTTGTCAAAAAAAAAAACTCGATCGAGCACCACACGTTGTTGAAAAGATTATTTTTTATTATTTTATATTTTTATTTTGTACATTATTTTCTCCAGAAGGGAACAATCAATTATTTTACAACCCATGTTGTTATTAGGGAAATAAAACAATTTCGCTAAACTTCCATACAATAAATCGGTGCATCTTTAACACGTTATTCCTCGTGTTTAAAGAGGCTTTCGTCGCTTTTTAAGCCCAGTTTACCACTCACAACATGGCGGACAACCGTTAATTCTTTCGGGTAGAGAAACGTTTACCGCTGCAGATCAGGGGTTATATTTGGGCGATAAGGAGCGAATCCATCAGACATCCATTTAGATGTTCTTACACTTTTAGACGGAGTCAAATATACCTTATTTAAGCTACACATCTTACCAGCATCCTGGACGCTGTGATCCGTTTCTCTGTCCTCTTCTTTTGTTTTGGAAATGTCTCCCATTGCTTCACTCTGCCTCCAGCGGAGCCGCTGTCTCCACATCTCCGATATTACCTTATGTTCCCCCAATAGTGGTTTGGCAGTTGTTGATCAGTTCCATCTCGATTCTAGGTGGGGTGTATAAATGTATTTTTTATTCCCAAAATAAAGATGCGTTGAAATCCAGGCGTCGTTCTCATTCTTCTTCTTTTTCTTTACAGCTGGTAACACATATCTCTTACTGCACCCCGCCACCTAGTGTTCACAACTGTGTACTGTACAGAGTTCTACGTTGTCATGTGTTTCATGTATTGATTGTGGAAGCTTATCCCCTGGTTTTATTAAATATTATCTGTTCTATTCTATGATAAATATTTTTATGTGTAAACAAATATTTGTTTACAATAAAATATCATCTTGAGTTTTTTCTTGTGTTGTTCTGAACAACATAGGCCTTTACAACAAGTATGGAATAAGATCATAAGGTCTCCAAAGTACAAAGGATGTCCATCTTTTTCATGAAAACGATTTTTCTTAACAACCCATCCACAGAATGTCTGGAGTGTGAGGAATAAAAGTACTAATCTTACTGGAAAAAAATGATGGATGGATGGATGGATGGATGGATGGAGATAGATAGATAGATAGATAGATAGATAGATAGATAGATAGATAGATAGATAGATAGATAGATAGATAGATAGATAGATAGATAGATAGATAG